GTCCTTGGCCAGTGCGGGATTAGAAAGGAAGATGAGACCACATTTACCGTCGCATGAAGAACACCGATACATAAGCACATACGTGCTAATGTATCACGCGGACGCGCATGCATGCTAGTGTAACACGCGGACGCGCATGCGTGCTAAAGTATCACGCGGACGCGCATGCGTGCTAAAGTATCACGCGGACGCGCATGCATGCTAATGTAACACGCAGACGCACATGCATGCTAATGTAACACGCAGACGCACATGCATGCTAATGTAACACGCAGACGCACGAGCATGCTAATGTAACACGCAGACGCACATGCATTATAATGCAAACCCAAGACGAACGAGCTGGCAAATGCAACACGACGACGCACATGCAGTAACACGCAGACGCACAAGCATGCTAATGTAACACGCAGACGCACAAGCATGCTAATGTAACACGCAGACGCACAAGCATGCTGGACGCGCATGCGTGCTAAAGTATCACGCGGACGCGCATGCATGCTAATGTAACACGCAGACGCACATGCATGCTAATGTAACACGCAGACGCACGAGCATGCTAATGTAACACGCAGACGCACATGCAGTAACACGCAGACGCACAAGCATGCTAATGTAACACGCAGACGCACAAGCATGCTAATGTAACACGCAGACGCACAAGCATGCTAATGTTACTCGACGCGGACACCCTTATAGGGTACGCACACAGTGAAAGCAGGTTGCCAGCGTGCTGGTTACCTCTGCTCAGGCTGGCGCCTGAAACCTTAGAATACAGAAGCCTATTCGTACAGGTTTTCACTGTGAACACTTACATTATTATCCTATGTTCATTCTTGTGGCAGGTTGGAGCAGGTTGCCCGCGCGGGCAAACCTGCTTCCACTGTGTGCGTACCCATACATGCTACACAGAAAGGTCACCGGGCAAACAATCTTCGCGCTAACTTAAGTTTCTACCTACGCCTGACATAGAGATGCATGTTGAAATACAAATATAACTTCCATTTATAAGGAGGCTAGGATTTAGTTGACTTATGTTCAACAGCTTGTCCGGAGTTGACCGGGATATAAAATGCGCAATTTTTAAAATCCCGTTATCCTGCATCCTGCCCTAATCCCGAGTTTCGTAGCCAATCAATAACTTCTGAAGTAAAAAAAAACATTACTTGAAGAAAACCCTGTTCCAACCAACATTAAACATGAAACTCCCATTTAGCTATCAGTTCGAAATTCGAAGCAAATTTACATTTTCTAATATTGACAGAAATTTACCGTGCCAAATTAGAAATCACACTTCACTCAACCCACTATAGGAATTAAATTTCCATCCCACGTAATATCTCGAAACGAAATGTACCGGCCGTGGTGGTGTTCGTACGCTGCACTAGGGAAGTGATGAAAAGGCAAGAGGTGGCACACAGTGGCCAGACAAGGAAAGGAAAATGGAAAGGACAGTAGCTGAAACAAGACGCATAGCGCATAATTAGGTTGTTTCTTGTTTGGTTGTGTGGGGGCTAGGTTTGGGTTGGGTTTTATCGTGGATACACGTCTGGTCAGCCCATGGTTGAACTATATAAGGTTGACCCACGAGAAGTTCCGTCTTTCAGTTAAGCTTTCTTGTTACGTCGCTCAGATCGAGTAACGTAAACAAACCAGTCATCTCCACGGCGGATTGGTTGAATGGTTTGATCGCATATCGGTGATTGGTTAATTCCCGTGACGTCACTGAAATCAGTGACGTCACAGGCGATCAACGAACTACATCCGCAAAAATGGGCTTCTGATGGGTCAACCTTTTACTAGTTCAACCATGAGGACGGACAGCCCTTGTGCATTTCCAGCTTCGAGCTTCATACACACAAACGTCGAAAAATATAATCAAATATGAGCGTAAACTTTCCATCAGGAATACTGCAATTTTACACAGTTTCAGCGGGTTCAAACGTGTAACAAGAATTTTTCATAATTTTTGCGCAGTTTCAGCGGGTTCAAAGGTGTAACAAGATTTTTTCATAATTTAACACTGGTTTTCTATCATGAAAAATTGACAAACAAGCCACTTTAGGAGCGTGATTTAATTCGCAGCTCACAATTAAAAAAAACGAACTTGCAACACTACGATAAGGATATGCATTCGTAACCGGAATATCCTCTGGTATCATTAAAACCTGTGCGAACGAAAACGTTCATATACCTACTGTAAAAAACGAACTCGTGTTATACACTAGCAACCCCGCTCGTGCCGAATTTATTAATAGTTCATGCAAACTTATAATAGAAAAATGAGTAATACATTCAAACAAAGTGGGGTGAATAAACTTGGTCGTTGTCCTGTGGCTGCTGCATGAGGCTGCGACTGGCATGCGTGGATACTGGACACCGCTACCGACGCGTCTACGTGGCAGCGAACCCAAAGTTAGGCTCGGGGTATCTTGGCAAACTGGACTATTCGTGGCCGGCTTTTACGCACTCTCAGTTCAAAGTGTCCGATTTTCAACCAATTCTATGATAAAGCCTTCTTATACTAAATTTATTAAGTAATGAAGTAATGATGTTTCTAAAGGGAACAAATATTCTGCACATGATAAATTTTCGGGGCCTTTTAAGAGTCTTTTCTATAATCGCACAAAAGACTGGAGATAGAGAGTGTAATATATAATATGAGTGGCTATCATGAATTATCATCACGCACACTATAACAAAGAAACCCCTTAAAAAGTTGACCACATCCTAATTTGAGAAAACTCGAAGCAAACATTGCGCATTGTTATATGATTCCTGTGTCTTGAAGTCACACGTGTAAGAGACGGTATTTTTATCTTCAGCTCGGCAATGAGGATAACTAGGAATAAAACTGTTGGCTCCTGTGTGTTAAATATTCAGCATCACAAGACGTGTTGCAGAAAATACTTTTTTTCATAATATGCATTTGGATGGCAAATTTGTAATCTTATACGTGTTATACTCACAAATAAATAAAGCGCGGATAATGACACTCCACTAATAAACTCGATTAGCTTTACACGTCACAATACTTTTTGAGTGAAGTCCCAAAAAGTCTAGCAAAAACCACTGGCTGGAATAAACTTAATTCGGTCAATTGTCCCCAAAAGCACCACTCCGACAACTGAACACAAACGTTTTGATACACAGATTTAATGTACAAACTACAAATATCTCGAAGCGTGTAGTCAAGATATAATCATTCGATCTCTTTACAAAAAAATTATGATTCAATGAAAGAAACGATCTTCACTATAAAACGTAGGATATATAAATTTTCAAGGAGAAAAGTAGATAAATCCCCTATGATTCGTCTATAATAAAGCTGCACACCGGCTGAAGAGCTTCCATTATTTTAGACCTAACGGAGGAAAAACATCAAGTTATTTTCTTTCCTGGAGGGACTAGAAGCCTAAAAATTTGGATGGGTGGGGACAGGGCGGGTGAAGACCTGGTGGTAAGCCGTACCAGGCACCAATGCTGCCACACGTTAGGGTTATTCGCCTCATAGTAACAGGTTAGAGGTGTTTTTTTTCAGGCATAGGAAGAAATTGCCCAGCATTCTCGAAAAATGAATGCGGAGATCGAAAGATTTATATTATTCGTGAGTTTCATTACAATTATGTTTTTATTCTAATTCCAATATTAAAAAGTCCTGTGATTCCCCATAAAGTCGTCAAGTGTATCGGGACTATTTCAGATCCAAACTGTGATCAGCTGATCTTATAATCGAATAATAAGCACGATCACCAAATATGACGCCATTCATGTAAATAAATTAATAACTTCTAACGTTCACTTGTTAGACCGGCTTAGAAATATATACGCAAATTCTGAGTTCCCTCCTACTTTATTGGATAGAGCAATAATAAATTACAGATCATACTAACTTTTTTTTACAAATGCGTTTTTCATTCAGTTCATGACAGCAATGACCAAAATTTAAAGGCGCGAGTCAAAATAAGATATTATTTCAAATACATGTACCGGGAAGGCCAGTAATAAGTTCTGACTAACCGTATATAAGCCCACTTCATGAAATTATTGGTGATCGCCTCTCTAGTCTCTGGGAGTCTATACACCTAACTTGTGTCCGTGATCGCCACAAGCACCAGTGGCACACGATTTCACGCTAATCATGCACGAGCAACGACACCGATAGCCGAAACCGAAAATTGCCACCGAAAATTAACTGGACATAAAATAATGTGAAAATAAAATTTCTACTAACAATGCTGGGATTGAGAAAATATATTAGCAGAAAAAACACAATCCCCTCCTAACACTTCAACTTCAAAGCTTCAAGGAAATGGCAATGTGAATGTACGACGGCTTTAGACGTTAGTGTCAGTCGACATGTTTAGCAAATTAGCTTCCTTCTGTCATTGTAATGAATGTCTTTTCAAATTCAATGTCTTGCATCGGCAAACCGTGGGAATAGTATTAATGCTGATAGCATTCAAGATTGCCAAGAGATAATAAACCTTAACCAACACGCTGAGACAGAAAAACAGCCAATAGACTTAGTAATTTGTAATTTTGTACCTGCCTTCTTGACTCCTAACGTGCTTAGTCGTGCTACGTGCTGCCATGCTCACAAAAACTAAACAAATGGATTTCAGCCAAGCATGATTTATTGAGGACCTTATTTCAATATACATTACCATGATTTGCTAGTCCATCGTTCATGTTCTAAGGCTGGTTCAACTTTAGCTAACAACAAATTTTTAAAGAGCCCGCTGAGGCTGCATTTCAATGTGGAGTCTTTTAACGGGGTTAGCTCAACAGCGTTCGCTATATTGGAGTCGGACACTAGAAAGCGTCAGTAGACTGAGCAGAGCGGCAACAAATGGTTAACAAGATTGAACAACTGCATCAATCTCTTTCAATGAATGACTAATGAATCCGGTTTCGTAAACTTTATTAACGCATCTTCATTAATCTAACAGTGATAGCCGGAAGGACGGGAAATTTTAGACAGAGGACACTACACTCACCGCATCTCTCTTCACGTCAGGATTAACGCTTTTAAGCTTCTCAGCCACTGTTCTTTTGAGAGAATCATCATCAATACCATCAGATTTGCTAACAACAGTAGATTTCCCTTGTGGCTTCTTTTTTCTATTTCTGGTATCCGTTTCCATAACTGGCCACGGCACTCTCACGCTGTCCACTTCACACAAATCAAGAACGGCAACCTCACTCTACCGCTGCCTCTTCGGCAATGCCAGCTGACGGCTAAGTGAGAGCTGCGGAGTCCACAACGAGATCCGCTTCCTAGCAGACATACAGGTAAAACTCATGGGAATTAGAAGACGGCCCATTGATTTGACAGTGCTGACGTGTCTTACATATCTGCTATTTGACTTTGCAAAATGTCGGCCAAACTAATATGAGTTCAATCTTCCAGGCTGACAAATGCTGACAAGTGTAAAGTACTTCACCTCGGGAAGAACAATGAACAGCAAGATTACAGCATGAGAAGACATGGTTGCAACGAGAGAGTAATGATTGAAAAGTCTAGTGTGGAAAAAGATCTCGGAGTTCATGTCAACAAGGAGCTGAAATTTTCTAAGCATGTTGAAACGCAAGCTAACACATCCAACAAACTTCTTGGACTAATCAGACGCTCATACGAGTTCCTAGATGCAGAAGCGATGAAGCAGTTGTTTGTTGCTGTCGTGCGCCCGAATCTAGAGTTTGGAAACGTTGTGTGGTCACCGAGATTTGAAAAAGACAGAAATTTAATAGATAATGTTCAAAGACGTGCAACAAGGATAATTCCAGGCTTGAAGGGCAAGTCCTATGAAGAAAGATTGAATTGCGCTGCAACTTCTCCACGCAACAAAATTTCTTCTCGCTTCGAATCACCGACATGTGGAACAGCCTCCCCGATGACATCGTTGGCTCTCCAAGTATGAACGCGTTCAAAAACAGACTAACATAACATAACATAGTGATGTCGGCGCTGAAGTGTAGGCCTGATGTGGCCTGTCGCCGATTCTTTTCCTTTTTGGTCCTTGTTCATAGATCTAAACTCGTGTCATTTGACTAGATAAAGCTATGGAAAAATATATGTTCAGATTTGAAATGCCTAGCTCCTTATCGAACCCGGTGGAAGTCTAGTAGCTACTTCAAACTATCGTCAGTCATGAAAGGATCCGGTCAAATGATACAGGTACGATATTAGTTCTTCTGTGAACAAGGCACGAAAAGATCAAGAATCGACGACAGGCCACATCAGGCCTACGCTTCAGGGCCCGACATCACTATGTTATGTTATGTTAATTGCCATAATCATATTGTGAAAAATAGTTAAATCCTTAAACTTGATTCAATCAATAAGGAAGTAGAAGTCACTATAGTAACCATGATTAATTTTTATATAGAAATCAGTTTTGAATTTATTTTTAAATTTTAAACGCACGCATTTTTCTGTTGCATGGTCTGTCTGTGAGTGTAATTTTTGGGTAACTTCATAACTGTCCCGAAAATCAGGATCCGTTATGTCAGTCAGCGGCTGGATATTTTAACACGTTTTTAACACGTTTTTCTTAACTTAGCTTCGTGTTTGTTTGTTTGTTCGTGTTTGTTTGTTTCGTGTTTGTTTTCAGATCGATTATATCAGTCTTTACGATGCCTCATTGATTTATTAAGCAGATCTTCTATCAGGTGGTAGGAAAAAAGTTGAGAAATTCTTAAATTTTTTTAAATACATCACCGATCATTTAATTATAGTGAAAAGATATAAATGATGATATTGGTGCCCTGACGTAAACTTGAGATTTGCTTTTGGTTCCCATACTGCAAGCATCATATAGGGCTCGTAGAACTTCTCTTATTTGTAACACTACTTCAATATTATCCGAAGATCAACAATGATTGATTATTGCCGAATAAAATTAAGTTTTATGGATGATAGAAAGGTATCTTCGGTTAATATATTGCCAAAATGCTAGCAAGTTGTGGGGATTGAAACGTGGAACATTTTCTGAAAAATATTTCTACGAGATTGCAATCTTTATTAACCCGGCACTGAACCTAAAAGTAAACAAGTGAACAATTTCGCTCATATAAGAGCACAAACGCAAACAAAAAAAATAAGCCTGAAATTTTTTTTAGCAAAGCTTCACTCTATTGCGTTTGTATTATTGACTAATACGATACCATATAAATTGAGGTGGTCAAATTTAGGTCAGTAAATGATATTCATTCAACTGCGTGGCAAGAGCAAGTGCGTATCATCTAAACTAACCCCTCTTTCTCTAGTAAGACGGTATAAATCCTCGAAATATATAAATAACGATTCAGTAGCAAATAAATCCTATGAGTTGCTACGGAAGTTCGAATCTCAAGGAAATCCTAAAATAACTATTTAAAGACGTAAGAATTTTGTATGTTCAGTTTAGCAATTATCGTTTTGATTAATGCAAGGATTTTCATCATCATCAATGCCATGCAAGTTTGGCTCACACAATAATTTCGGTGAAAATAAATTACTCGGATTATAAGAACTATTTTTATATAGACGTTAATTGAAGCATACAGTATACGTAACCATTAATTCAAAGAATATATCAATGGTTCAAAACAAAATATTTTACAGGGGTCCTCCACAAATAAATAGACTTTATTATCATTTTCGAATGATCGCTGTTTCGATGAGATAAAAGATAAGTGCTTGCACGACACTGCAGGCAATCAGTGCAGATAACAGCCCTGCAATCAGTGCAGATAACAGCCCTGCAATCAGTGCAGATAACAGCCCTGCAATCACTTGACCACGACCTTAGACGCCCAGCAAGCATCACACACTTAATTTGTAATACAGGGAAAACAATCACTCGAGAGTATCGATGATAACGTAAAACTATAAAGTGTTACTGCAGGGAAATATTCCTTCACTTCCACTTAATCGAAACAGTGCTATAATTTGAATTTAAATTCACATTTTTTCCTTGATTGATAAATATTTATTTCACTATTGAATACATTGTGAAGTGAGTTATATAATGAATGTACTTGAAATTCCTAAGGGCGAGACCATATATTTGCTTCACTGCGCTGAAACATTTGTTTGTTATGAAGATAGCGCACAGAGTGTAGCTCTAGAGACCCTGGCACTCTTGTGTTGTGTTTATGGCACTCCATGTGCTGGCACTCCTGTGTCATGTTGTGGCACTCCATGTGCTGGCACTCCTGTGTTGTGTTGTGGCCGTACTCCATGTGCTGGCACTCCTGTGTTGTAATCATTAGTATCCTTAGTATTTGTTTGGGACATAGCAGTCCCAGGCCACGATGGATCGCCGCCTCTGATTATCGTTCATCCGCCCTCATTTGGGCCACCTGATGCGCGATGCTGTTGCTTGCTTCTCGCCACTGGTAGTGTTGCAGGGGAGGTCGATCTGGGATTGTGCCCAGGAACACGTCTAGCTGTCTCTTGAAGGTCTCCAGGGTGAACTCCCCCTCTCTTAGATCC